CAATTTTAAAAGCTCACTGATGCGCGGTACGAGAGAAGCCCAGATACTGAGTGGAAGACGGACGAGAAAATAAAAGAGCACACGGAACGTGATCCCCTTCATGTGCCGTGTGAGTGAAAGCCAGTGGTTCTCAACCTTCCTCCTGTCGCCACCCTCTAATGCAGCTCCGCATGTTGTGGTGACCCCCAATTTCATTGTTACGAATTGAACATAATTAAAGCATAGTGATTCATCACAAAAACAATATGTAATTATATATGTGTTTTCTGATGGTCTTAGGCAACCCCGGTGAAAGGGTCGTTGGACCCCCAAAGGGGTCGCGACCCACAGGTTGAGAACCGCTGGTGTAAGCAGAACCGGGTCCGTGGGGACAGGACTCAGAACCGCGGGGGCCTGTGAGGGGTGACGGCAGAGGCCGGGCAGGAGGGCATCTCCGGGGAGACAGAGTGTCCTGGGTCTCGGTCAGAGAGGCTGCAGAAGCCTCGGACCCGAGCACTGGGAACGGTGCATCCGGTCGGGGTCACACGGTAAGAAAACGATGGTGCAGCAGCGTCCGGTGGGGTCAAAGGACCAGCTCATCACGGTCAGGGCTGCTTCTCTCTGTAGAGGCCACAGGACAGCTCAGCCCTGGGATCCCACAGGTCAGGACACCCCCAAACACCGGACACGCCCAGGTGTCCAGGCTCCAGGCCCCACGGGGGGTGGGGGAGGGGCGCTAACTCAGCTGCCCTGGGACCTCAGGGGACGGGCACGAGCAGCAGAGCCAGGGGCCTGGGCGACCCTGAGGGAGGGGTGCCGCGCAGACCTCTGCACCCAGCAGGCCACCCCTCCCCAAGCTCCACGCCAAGGCCTCCCTCCGCAGGGCCTGGAGGGGGCAGAGTGGGGGCCGCACAGGCTCGCCCAGGCCTGCCGTCCACTGCAGGGGCGCCCGCCCGACATGAGGGTCACCCCGCAGCGGGCGTGCACCAGCGAGGCCTGTGGAGGCAGCGCCCACCCGCCCAAGGGCCGAGACCACAGCCCTCAGAGGGGCCTCGACAACCCGGGCTGAGCAACTGCGTCCTCCGTGTCCTCGGTCCTCAGTGCCTGTTACACGCGAGGCTCCGCACCCGGGGGAGAGGGGGCCAGTTTGTCAGGAGCGTCATCCTGAGGCTCGACTTTGTGTGCGTGTGTGTGCGCGTGTGCATGTCTGTGCGTGTGTGTCCATGTGCATGTGTGCGCCTGTGTGCATGTGCGTGTGTGTCCATGTGCATGTGCGTGTGTGCGCGCCTGTGTGCATGTGCGTGTGTCCGTGTGTGCGCATGTGTGTGTGTGCATGTGTGTGCGCGCCTGTGTGCAGAAAGAGTAGGACAGCGACTTACTGTTTTTTCGTTTTATTGACTTCAGAGAGGAAGGGAGAGGGAGACAGAAACATCAATGATGAGTCATGGGTCGGCTGCCTCCTGTACACCCCACACTGGGGATCGAGCCCGCAACCCAGGCATGTGCCTTGGCCAGAAATCAAACCATGACCTCCCGGTTCATAGGTCAACGCTCACCACTGAGCCACGCCGGCCGGGCTGACTGTTCTGTTGAAAATACTGATTTTACACCAAGTCAGCTTCTCTCACACCACAGGGCCTCCGCGTGGGCTCCCTGCCGAGGCCTGGCATGGCCCCCTTCCCAGCACCCATTCTCAGGGAGCCTCTCACCTCTGACCTCCGACCTCCAACCCTCCCTGACATCTACCACGAGGTCAAGGAGCATGGGGACTGTGGTGGGTTTAACCTTCTCTGAGCAGGAAGCACTTGGCCTGGCCCACAGTAGGCCCGTCAATCGTGGCTGCGTGGACAAATCCTATGCCTGTTGCCCAACACACGAAGTGAGCAAGCCACACCCCCCGCTGCTCGCTCCATGTGAGATGCATGTGAGGCGCCCGTGCTCCGGGCCCACGTCTGGCGAGGGATCCCCCGGGCGCATGTGAGGCTCATGTGACACGCGCATCCATGACCGAGGCGAGCGTGCTGAAGTGCGGGCGCCTGCGTGTTACCAAAGGGCCCGTGTCTACAGCGAAGGAGCGTTTCCTTCTCTGGAAATCGAACCACGACAGGAAGCACGGCAGGTTCAATGCGGTGAATGAAAAACGAGCGGCTTGGGAACACAGAACACGGGGTGGGACACGTGTGCGGACCTGGCAGGTCACAGCCACTGCCCACGGAGGGAGAACCTCGTGTGCACAGCGCCCACGGGGACTGCAGCCCAGCCCGCGAAGCCCCCGATGAAATGATTTAAAGAGAAAACCCTGACCTGGCAGCAGCCGGACCCCAGGCCTATGGCCCGAGGGGCTGGTGTCATCCCGGATGTGACGCGTCTGTGGCCGAGCTCCCACCAAACCTCCACGTCCATGAGAACGGCGCCTGATGCTCTGGGGGCTGAGTTTTGTTAAACTGCTGACCCAGAGAATCCCTTTCTCGTCCCGAAGTCGGCGGTGCCGGCCGTGGGCGCCGAGGGCTGTGGGGTTCAGTGGCGAAGGGAGCCAGGCTCTGCGCCAGGCGCTCCGGCCCCACGCCCACTTCCTGTCTGTCACCGTGGCAGCCGGTCGGCTCCGGAGTAGCTTCCTGCCCAGTCACTTAACAAATGAAGTGACTGACAAGTCGAGCAGGGACCACACGGGGCCTCTTCCTACAGTCATGACCGCTCTGCTCTCCCTGGACATCAGGGCAATGCATCTGGCTGTTTACTAAGCGCTTACTGTGCGCTGGCTCAGACCAATGAGCTCCTCACTGTGCGCTGGCTCAGAAGGATGAGCTCCTCACTGTGTGCTGGCTCAGACGAATGAGCTCCTTACTGTGCGCTGGCTCAGACCAATGAGCTCCTTACTGTGCGCTGGCTCAGACCGATGAGCTCCTTACTGTGCGCTGGCTCAGACCGATGAGCTCCTCACTGTGCGCTGGCTCAGACCGATGAGCTCCTCACTGTGCGTTGGCTCAGACCGATGAGCTCCTCACTGTGCGCTGGCTCAGACCGATGAGCTCCTTACTGTGCGCTGGCTCAGACCGATGAGCTCCTCACTGTGCGCTGGCTCAGAAGGATGAGCTCCTCACTGTGCGCTGGCTCAGACCGATGAGCTCCTCACTGTGCGCTGGCTCAGACCGATGAGCTCCTCACTGTGCGCTGGCTCAGACCGATGAGCTCCTCACTGTGCGCTGGCTCAGACCGATGAGCTCCTCACTGTGCGCTGGCTCAGACTGATGAGCTCCTCACTGTGCGCTGGCTCAGACCGATGAGCTCTGGTGGTTGTTTTTAAAGAAGCAAATGACCTCACAGAGGTCAGAATGGAAAAGAACTACCCACAGGTCTGGTTCGCTTTCTGTGTCAGCAGCTGGGGAATACGGAGGGAAGAGCAAGGAGTAGGGCCAGTTTTAAACTAAATGCCTTTGGCCCGGCCGGCGTGGCTCAGAGGTTGAGCATCGCCCTACGAGGAGGTCACGGTTCGATTCCCGGTCAGGGCACATGCCTGGGTTGCAGGCTGGGGTGTGGGGTGTGCAGGAGGCAGCCAGTCAATGATTCTCTCGCATCACTGATGTTTCTCTCCCTCTCTCCCTCTCTGTAATCAATAAAAATATATTTTAAAAATTAATAAATACACTAAATGCCTTTGGTAATTCGTCCCGACTCTGGCACTGGAATGTCTCTGGCTCCCTGCCCGTTACAGGAGGAGACGCGGGTGGAGCTGGCCAGGCCCCGGGTGTCTCTGACGTCGGCCCGTTGCCAAATGTTCTGTGAGGAGGCCGGAGGCCGGGGCCCAGCACGGAGGCCACTCAGCTCTGAGTGGTGCCAGGTGCCCTTTATTCGTAGGCTGGGCCCACTACGGCTTCCGAGACACGACAGGGGGCCTGTCCCAGGAGAAGGGCTGGGCTCATTGCTGGGCCGGGTGCAGAGACCGCACGGGCAGGGGAGGGAGGCGCCGGGCCGTGTGCTCAGCTGCACCCTCCGGCCAGCAGGGAGGCGACAGGGTGTTCTGGCCGTGCTCTCCCACCGATTCCTGTGTGCAGCCCAGGGGCAGCGGTTTCCCGAAAGCCCTCGCGCCTCTCCCCACGGCATCCCGGGCTTGGTCTGCCTCCCAGTTGGCGAGTCTCCCCAGGAAAGTACCCGGGCCCTGACAGAATCTCTGATCTCGGGGAACGGCCGCCAGGAGCAGAGCGGTGGGAGGTGGTCAGCCAGGAGCCGAAACCAGACTCACAGAGGAAAACAGGAAAAGCCCGAGGAACAGCAGCCACGAGGAAGGCTTGCGTGTGACACCCACACTGTCCTGCGTCACTTTCTCGGTCGCCCTGAGCCCGGGCCACGAGTTTGCTCAGTGGGCACTGCAGACCCACCCTCGCCAGGACTCCACCACCGGCTTGACCTCAGCGCGGCTGGTGGCCCACCCTCTCCCAGTGGGTCTACAGATGCCACGCTTGGCGAGTGAGCCGGTAGCTAATGTGATGTGTGCAGGCCAGTGACCAGCAGAACCCTGGACCGGCCACGTTCTGGTCTCCCGTCAGCACGGCACCTGGAGGGTCTCCAGGCTGAGCAGGGTCTGAAGGGCCCGTCCAGGCAGCGCAGCCGAGGGAAGGCCTGCCTGCCGCCTCCACGCTACTCACCATGTACGAAGGGAAGATGAGGACCCGCTTGTGCTTCCCACAAGGCCACTGGGGGTCGTCCAGGAGGTTCGGGTCGTAGTCCACAAAGTCTCCCAGGTCGCTGCCTAAGGGCCGCAGGCAGAGGGACAGTCAGGGCCAGGCCTCCGGGCAGCGCAGAGGTGAACGCCCGTGCGGGGGACTGAGGGCTGGTCAGGGCACCAGCTCGGTCGCCTGCCTGCCTGCCATGCAGTCACGGTCTCTGCAGCCAAGGAGGCGTGTCCCCTCCGACAGGGGCACCAGATTCTTCACGTGACGATGACGTGTGAATCTCCCTGACCCGGAGAGCACAGAACCCCGGAGCATGAACAGCACAGGGACACTCGGATCAGAACACGTGGCGCCGAAAGGCTCGTTTCTAACCCTGCAGGTCACTGGAGCTGAGCCCCGTGAGAAGCACGTTTTGGGTTGAACCCTCCTGGGCAGACTACTGTGCCCACATAAACACAGACCAGAGCAGGTCCATGCACTTGGGGACCAGCGTGGCGGGAGCACGGACAGTGTTTCCGACTCAGCACCTGGACAGGCTGAGCCCTCCGATCGCCTGGGGTCTCCGAGCAGTGGCACTGCTCACCGAGAGCTCCCGTCAGCCCCAGAGGGCCGCTCAGGCCGAGCAGGAAGCACCCGGCCTCCTTCCGCAGCCCCTCCGCTTGTGCGAGGAGAACCACAAGGGGTGTTCTCACACCGGGTCCTGGGCTTCTGGCCCAATTATTTGAAGAAAAGCCCAACATGAGCACTGAAAAGTGTAGGCAAGAAGCAGGTAACAGGGAGGTAACTGAGGCGCAGAGAGGTGGCGAGAAGCTGGACCCTGCCCAGCCCCCTCTGCACGAGGCGTGGGGTTTCCCCGGGGGCGCTCAGGGGCTGGGCGGAGGCATCTCATTGGAGAGGCCACCCTCTGGCCGGTTGTGAGGCTGAAATCCTCTCGCCCAATCACGTTGCCTGTGGGATGAGCTCACACTCAGGGACCCGGCCCTCCCGTCTGCACACAGGAGACCCCCCCACACTGTACCCCAGACGCCTCCTGCCGCAGCCCCCAGACCTGTGTCGAGGCTCCCCTGGGTGCTGCTGGCCCGCCCTATGGAGAGGCTGCGGTGGCTCAGGGTGCGGAAGTGGGAGAAGGAGGAGGTGGAGTCGATGGTGCCCCTCCGGGCTCCCAAGGCGTTTGTGGGCCACAGGAACTGGGTGTACGACACCGTCTGGAAGGGAGACAAAGGGCAGGTGAGGGGCATCCCCGGGCAGCGTGCAGCTGCGCCCGACCCAGCACGTCTCCCACTGCGACTGACACCAGGGACCTGGAAGATGACTTCTATTCCGGCCAAATCTGTGCCCGAACCGCTGCCTGTGGCTGTCCCTGACCCCCCTGGTGAGAACGCTCAGGTGACGCGGCCGATGTGTGTTTGATAACAACGTTTGATAACAATGTGTTGTTGTCAGGGGTGGGCAAACTTTTTGACTCGAGGGCCACAATGGGTTCTTAAACTGGACCGGAGGGCCGGAACAAAAGCATGGATGGAGTGTTTGTGTGAACTAATATAAATTCAAAGTAAACATCATTACATAAAAGGGTACGGTCTTTTTTTTTTTTTTTAGCTTTATTCATTTCAAACGGGCCGGCCCACGGGCCGTAGTTTGCCCACGGCTGTACTAGATGCTGTGGGGATGGTGTGGCTGCGTGAGGCACAGACTGGCACTACTTTCCATGAACCAGCACCTGCAGTGTTCCAGGCCCCGATGGCTGGAGTCCCTGACGAGGGACGTGACCCCGTGCCCTGCAGCAGATCCATCCACGGGGCTCACCTCCGCTCTGTCCCTCCCCACAACCCCCCCCCCCCCATTCCTGGGTGGACACTCAGCCTTCAGGAGAGAAAGCAGCACATGTATCTTTCTCTCCACCGGCCTGGGGACCACGGCTCAGGCCCTGGGGGAGCTGTGCCAGGGGGTCCTGTGCATGCAAACGGCTGGGACGGTCTCCCCAAGGACACCCTGCACGGTCTCCCCCAACAGGCTTTGGGGGCTCATGAAAGACTGGATTCACCCTTCACACCCTAGACGTCACCCCGCAGCCTGGTGAGCTGCGTGTGGAAGAGGCGTGGCAGCCCTGGTGCCTGGGGTCTCCGTCGGAGGCCGACACCCCCATCTAGTTGTGGGGAGGCGGCTTGCGGGCACCATCCGTTACTGCTGTTCACACTACCCACATCCCTGCACCCCAGAGCATGCATGTGGACACGTGTGTGCACACGCAGGCAGGGAAACCTTGTGTTGCTATGTAATCGCGGCCTCGATGGACTTCGCCTGCCCGCTGGGAGCCCAGGAAGGTGCCCCCCACCCCTCGAGCCAGGTGCGTGGCCTGCCCCCTCTTCTGCTTCCCGACCCTGTGGCTTGGGCACAGACTCGCCAACGGGAGCCGGGCAGCCTTACCTTCCCGTCAGCGCCCAGCTCCACGCCTTCCAGGCCAATGACCTCTTTCAGGCTCACGGCACCTGCTGACTGTCTCCCTCCGTCCGACTTCAAGTCCCTGGGAGGACAAGCCAGAGAGGAAAGCTGCTGTTTGCACCCAAAAGAGGTGCTGTGATGCTCACTACACGAGGCACCAGTCATGCTGACGAAAGGGACCGAGCAGGCCTCCCCTCGCCCCTCCGCTGGGCCGGGTCAGCGGCTCAAGGGCAGCCCCCCAATGCCCCCCACTCTGACATGAAGGACACGCAGCTGAATGAGTGCCTGAGGGAGAAAGGCGGGTGCAGAGCGATGGATCCCCGGCCTCCCTCCACTCAGCAAGTCCCTCCTCTCTGAGACGGTCATGGCACAGGCACCAGGGGGCACCCCGGGCACAGGGACGACACTCTGCTGGGCTCTCGCTGCTGGCTTCTTCTTAAATCTGGGGGAGACCCCTCTCGACTCCCCTTTATTCGACAGGAGAAAGAATTTCTCATCCTGAACAGCTCTCAGGCTCACTGCTGGCCATGAGAGAATCAGCGCCACAAGAGTCACCCTCCTACCTTGCCAGGCCACCTGGAAAATGAGTATCTTTCTATGAAACAATGTCCAGTGTGAACAGCAAGCAGTCATAGAACACTTCACACCTGACACAGACTTTCACACACCATCCCTTTCATCCTTTTTTTAAAATATAATTTTACTGATTTCAGAGAGGAAGGAAGAGACGGAGATAGAAACATCAATGCTGAGAGAGGATCATGGATCAGCTGCCCCCTAATGGGGATCGAGCCCGCACTAGGCATGTGCGCTGACCGGGAATCAAACCATGACCTCCTGGTTCATACATCAACCACTAAGCCGCGCCCGCAGGCCCCTTCATTCTTGATGCTGCCCTTATCAGACTGCTGTTGCTATTACTGTCCCATTTTACAGATGCGAAAACGAGGCCCAGAGTAGGCAGATGGCTGGCCACGTCCCCTCTCCTTGCAGTAGTTCTCACTAAGCTGCGTGTTGGAATCACCGGGGATTTCTGACAAACTCCTGCGGTCTGGCTCCCACCCCAGCCATGCTGATTCTGTTGTCATGGTGCAACCTGGGTGCAGGAGTTCTGAACGCTCCGGGGGTCTAAATCGCAGCCATACCCAGGAAGGACCGCCTTCCAGCTGCTGCCTCTGTGCCCGAGAGGCACCGTGCTCAGGGCTGTCTCCTGTAAGAACGGGGGCTATTTCGCAAGAACGAACAGGTTTAAAATGGTAAAGGAATCGATGGGAAAGCGAGGTGCCCTGGAGCCAGGTGAGTGGGGGGAGGAGAGACGAGTGCCCGCCCCCCATGGAGGAACCCAGGACCCTCTGATGTGCTGAGCAGTCTCCTCGCCTGTGGGCTCCCATGATGGACTGGCTCCCGCATCCTATGATGCGGAGTGAGGTCAGCAACAGCTTCCAAAGACCCACCTCGACCTGCTCCCAGGAGGACTGCCTTCTGCAGCCACGTGGAGGCCAGCTCTGCCAGCCCAGAGCCTCTGGGCCCCTTTGGAACTGACACTAAAGTCTTCAAACTTCACACGCAAACTCTAGTCAGTGTCCCCCCGCCCCATTGACCGGATGTGACTGTCCATGACCTCAGACTCCTCCACGGACAGTCAGAGAACTGTGAGGTCACTCGGAGGTGCAGCTTGTCCATCAAGAGCTCCACGGCGTCCTGAGCCACAGAAGTGCTCTCAGGAGAGATCGAGCTCCCGGGGGAGGGGGCGGCCCCGCTGGGATCACACTCCCTGAGGGCTCCGAGGTCCAGGCTTCCCCACTTCATGGAAGTGCCGTGCCCACAGGAAGCTCACATCCCAGCTGTTGGCCTCCAACCTGCAGCTGGGAGACCAGCAGGCTGGAGCGACGCTTACGACCAGCACCTCAGGGCCACAAACCAGGGACCACCTGCCCCGCCCCCTCCAGGAGCCTCCAGGGCAGCCCTCACTTCCTCCAGCAGAGAGGACAGAGGATGCACCCATCGCGAGCAAGGTCCGGGCACTGAGGCTGACACAGCCTGTGGGTCGGAGCGAGGCCCCTGGGGGAGACCCGGGGCGGAGCTGGAACAGGCCTCAGGGGAGCGAGGAGAAGCCAGAGACCGTGGCCTTGATGCCCCCTCTTTTCGAACCCGAGAGGGTGGGAACAGTGCAGAAAGGCCCGGAAGGTGCGCTGGTTCCCCCAAAGGGAGAGTTGGAAACACCCAGCGGAGCAGCAGCCGAAGGCAGAGGACTGACGAGTGATCAAGTCTTCACGTTCCCTCTCAGATCATCTCTCCCATCAACACGGGGCGTGAGCACGGACATCACGCGGTGCCAGCACTGACCCTGCAGCACCCAGAGGCGGACCCTGGGGAACGGCAGCTCAAAGTCTTAAAAGCAAATGAACTTGGGCTTTGCAATTGGTTTGAAAAGCCTCAGAGATCATTTTTCCCAGATGCATGTTGAGTTCAAAAATGAATTTATTTATGTTCCGCCTCCTTCTAAGCATGGAACGGAGGCAAGTTCCACCGCCCACGTGGGTCTTGTCCAAAACCGCGAGCGGAACCGTTTCCGTGTCACTTGGACTCGCAGGAGGGCACGGTCAGTCAGGCTCAGGACAGGACCCCGTGGGAGGAGATGCCCTGACAGGACCACTGCTCCCATTCCCTCCGCGCCCACAGCCCCAGGTCTTATTTAGCTACAAGACCTCATTTCTCATGCTATTTAAGTTTATTTAAAAAAATATTTCTATTGATTTCAGAGAGGAAGGGAGAAGGACAGACAGAAACATCGATGATGAGAGAGAATCATGGATCGGCTGCCTCGGGCACACCCCACACTGGGGATGGAGCCCGCAACCCGGGCATGTGTCCTGACGGGAATCGAACCGTGACCTCCTGGTTCCTGGCTCATGCTCAACCACTGAGCCACACCGGCCGGGCCTATTTAAGTTTCTTAACCTTTGCAGAGGCTGTGAGCAACAAACACACTTTGAAAACCCAGGGCGCACGCGCATGCGAGCACACACACACACACACACACACACACACATTGGTTGGCCAATAGGGGTGGGAGGGATGGGAGGTAGTGTGAGGAGGACAGGGAAGGGGCCACAGAAGATGGGGGAGGGGATGAAAACACACCCGGGGAGACAGCCCCACAACAGTGACACCTCTAAGCAAGAAGCAGACGCAGAGGTGGGCTCTCTGGGGCGGAGCCAGCCCCGCAGACGGCACTGCAGTTCACCCCGTGGGTCTCCTGGGAAGCCCGTCACCTCGTGGCGGGAACCCTCGGGCCCGTCTAGTTTTGTCCCCTGACACAGAGCGGACGTACACCATTTCATCGTGGTGGGTCGTCTGGTCAGAGCAGAGGCCGGTCTAGCTCTCCTGGTGCCCAGAGCGGGTCCCCTCGGTGCTCAAGGCCACACATGGCCAGCTGCTGACTCCCTCTTGTGGGCAGCACAGTGCTCCCGTGTCCTCTTCCAGCTCACTGAGCCGCACCGCATGGAACTGGACAGCAGGGCCGAGCCAAGGCCCATTCCTTAAGGAGCGTTTGGCTAACGAGCCGATATTCCTCTCAATAAAAGCAGCAGCCGTACGTTCGTGTGACTTAAAGCATTAGCACCTGGGAAGTGGGTGACCCAAGTGTGTTGTGGCCAATGAGCTCGTCTCAGGGCCTCCGCCTCCGGGACGGCCGCTGGGATTTACTTCTGTGACGGGGCTGCCTCTCAGGCCGGGGTTGCCGGCCGGGAGCCCCTCTGGGCATCGCTCTTTAAAGGACAATGTGTCGAACACGTGGATGTGTAAATAACTTAAAAGCTAATTAAATGTTAACAGGTATTCCAGACGCTTAATAAATAACAGGCCAGAGATCTGCTTCACAGAGAGCAGAGCGTGAGGCTGGCTGGGCAGCAAGGCCGCCTCTAGCCCGGCACCACTGGGGGCCGCACCCCAGGCTCAGCGACACGAGGCTAACGCGGCTCCAGAATCCTCGCTGTCGCCCCCGCAGCACCCGCCGTCGGGCAAGTCTGCCTGCTGGTCCAGAGCAGAGCGCTGCCCCCAGTTCAGAAGCAGCAGACGGGCCAGGCCACCAGGCCGCGGACAATCAGAGCAGCGTTCAGTCCTGCCAGCCTTCGGGCTCCCACTGAGCTCGCCATCCACACGCCACCCCCCGGGCACTGGCAGCAATGAGGGGCCTCTGCAGGCAGCTCCCAAACAGCCGATCACGGCATGATTCACCCGTGAGATCATCCCAGAGCCGGTCGCTGGGGGGACATGCACGGAGTGAGAAAGCAGCACAATCGTGAGTAATTCCCACAACAAAGAGGCGTCTTGGGGGGACGTGGGGGAGGGGCGTGGAGGCTGGAGGCCTCTCTCTGGAAGGGCCGTCCTCTGTCACCGGGTGACGACGCTCAGGAAGTGGGCCCAGGGGACAACCTCACCTGAAATGCCCAGCAGCAAAGGCTGAGGACACGAACGCCACACGAAGCTGCTGTTTAAAGCTTCCCGTCCAGAGACACTGGGGCTCCGACCGTGCAGTCGGCTCACCCAGTGACTGTCCGTCGACCAGGAATGCTTCTCTCAGTGGGTCTGTCCCCAACACACACACCTCGCAGGCGCTATTCTGTTGGGATCACGAGCGTGGTTATTTTCTAGAATCCTCAGCCACAAGCTACCTGGACTCACTCCGACCTCCTTCCAATCGGATCTACACGGCAAAAGTAGGCTCACAGCCCTGGCCAGTGTGGCTCGGTTGGTTGGGCATCGCCCCAAAGGTTGCTGGTTCAATTCCAGTCGGAGCACAGGCCTGGGTGGCAGGCTCAATCCCCAGTAGGGGGCGTGCAGGGGGCAGCCAACGGATGTTTCTCCCTCTCCCTTCCAGTCTCTCTGGAGTCAATTTAAAATAAAGGTAGGTTGACGGTTGTACGAGAAACAAGAGCTTATTCTTGTATTTATCAACATTGAATTGCTTCCCATGGAAACAGCTGTAACCCTCCTACCCCGGCCTGTGTGTGCAAAATGCCTGCGGATGCCCCACCTCCAGGGACTGAGGACCATCTGGCTCTCATGGCAGCCGTGTGCACGGGGCGGCGGGGCAGCTCCGACTCCAGGCCTGCAGTCTCCCCCTCACAGGGGGACCCGCTCCCAAAGCTCTGGAGTTGGTGTCTGGGACGGGCGTGCCTGCTCCCGCTGACGGGACGCCCCACAGGACGCCCTTCTGGCCTGTAATGCAGCTGCACTCGCCTGGGGTCCAAGCAGGAGGTCCTGCCGCAGGAGGGACAGGCCAGAGGGTGGTAGAGGGCGGGAAGCAGGAGGAAGCTCTGGGTCCCGGGCGGACCCCCCATTGCATTATTCCCACCTCCTGACTCCCACCCAGAACGGACCTGGAGAAACCACCGCTTCCAACTCAACGTGCAGCCAAGAGCGTCCCTGCTTCCCGCAAGCCCGGAGCCCGTGGAAAGAGCCGTGTGTTCATCTGCTCGCACGCTGCATGCTATTGACATTTCCCACCGACCGCAGGATGCTCGGTTGGGAGGTGACACAGAGCTGACGGAGGGCGAGGCCAGCAAACTGCCGACAGCCAGAGACCCGAGGGGTGTGGACAGGGACTGGGGAGCTGGGAGTTGTCTGAATGCACCCGCCCTGCACCCCCCCCTCTGTGCCCATCATGCCCCGGGCAAGACTGAATTCCCAACGGGAAAGAACCGGAAAAGAAGACAGTTATTAGAAGCATCTCCTACCTAACAGGGCAGTGAGGAGCCAGGAAAATTCCAGGGCAAGTGGAATAGGGAAACTGAGGCAGGAAAGTGCAAGCAAGGCCAAACAGCCCGGGCCCGTGTGGCTCAGTGGATAGAGCATCTGTCCGCAGACCAAAGGGTCTCGTGTTCAACTCCTGGTCGAGGGCACGTACCCAGATTACGGGTTTGATCCCCTGCCCGGGTGAGAGCTTGTGCAGGAGGAATCAATCCATGTGTCTCTCACGTCAATGTTTCTCTCTGCCTCTCCCCTCCTCCCTCCCTTTCACTCTCTAAAAATCATTGGAAAAAATATCCCAGGGTGAGGATTAACCAAAACAAAACAAAACACCAAGTCCAAACAGTGTGGGCAATTTGCAGCCAGCTTGTCACTAACAAGCCATGGTCTTCCCCAGCCAGGACGAGAGAGCAGAGGGTTAAAAGCTCCCTAAGGAGGGACGCAGAGAGGGAGGGGGAGGGGAAAGGGAAAAGGGCCCTTTCACTCCGGCAGAGAAGCCAGAAGCCGCAGCCTGGGGCTTGCAAGGCAAAGGGGCAGGTGCTTCTGGTGGATTCTGGGAAGGCCCACACAAAGTAAACAGGGGCCTTGAGAACGAATCTGCACCAAGAGAGTCAGCAAGGAACCTGGAAACCTACAGACAGGAGGGCGTCTGAGGACTCGGACCCCACCCCACCTGTTCAGATTAGCCGAGAGCTGAGAGCCGAGAGCTGAGAGCCGGCTGCGCTCCGTAAGCCGCAGGTGTAGGGCTGCTCGCCTTCTTCTCTAGTCAGATGCAGGCCTCAAGGGCTTTCATACATGGGCTGGATCACAGTGCGGCGAGGTCTGAGTACGAATCCACGTACGTGAGAGGACTAGGTGGAGGCTGGGACAGCCTCTCCCTCCGACTCCACTCGATTCTGTGTCGGTGGGGCCCTAGCAGGACGACTGTCACGAGCGCCTGTGAAGCCTCCCCTGGGCCGGCCTGTCTGCTTCGCTCAGCAGATGTCAGGAGCCAAAGTCAGTCCAGTTCAGCTTAAACCCAAGAACAAAGCTGGGGGGGGGGGGTAGAGGGGCTGGGACGCTCCGGCAGCTGCAGGGGCCAGAAGACAGACCCAGAAGAGATAAGGCCACCCCGACAGATGCTTCCAGTCGGGGGTTCAAGTGCAGTGAAGGGACTTTTGAGTTTCCTGTCTTTAAATCTTTCTTGGGATGAAGCTGGGACACACATGGACCCGTCCGCGGCTGGTCTGCGCCTGTCAGAATACTCGGGCACACGTGGCCTGGTCCACGTGCCCAAGCACAACGGAACCACGGGAGCCAGAAACCACGCGTTGAGCAGCCCGGTGGCCGGAGTCGGGTGGCTGGCTCAGCTGGGGGGGGGGGCGGGGGGCAGGGAGCCTACGGGCTTGAGCTGCAAGGCAGGGAAGCCCCCTGTCCACCCCGGGAATCCTAGGACTTACGTCCTGGTCACGGAGAGGCTTTAGCGTAAAGGTAAAGGAACTTTCCACAGTGAAAACATACTAATTAGTATGCACGTGAGCTGCAGTAGTTTAAAAATACGTATATGTATAAATTTACTAGCATAAACACTTGTCATTTAAGCATAATTATTTCCCAATAACTAGCTTAAAAATCATAATTATAAGTGGCAGTTATTATAAATAGGGTATCTGTTCATTAAAACATTTAAAAAGCAGAACAGCCCAGCCAGCGTGACTCAGTGGTTGAGCACTGACCTATGAAACAAGAGGTCACGGTTCGATGCCCCGTCAGGCACATCCCCAGTGGGGGGCGTGCGGTGTGGGAGGCAGCCGATCCATGGTTCCCTCTCATCATGGATGTTTCTCTCTCCCTCTCCCTCTCCCTTCCTCTCTGACATCAGTGAAAATATATTTAAAAAAATGACAAGCAGGCCACTGCTGAGTCTCGCTGCTCAATCCGACTCGTGCTGCCAGTTTCTCCTGAGGACGTCAGCATGTGCTGCCCCAGTGGGCGTGTTCTCTTCTCTGCTGGGTGACATGGGGACCCGGCCGGGGGCTTTGTTACAGAAATTACCTTTTCTGCATCTTGGTTTCTCATCGATAAAAGCTGAGGGAGTGGCGAGTTTGCTTGTTCGTATCCAAGATGTGAGGTTACGTCCCGTGAGCCCTCGCACATTCCGAGTCTGCATCTGGGACAAGTGGCAGGACGAGTCTCCTAATAACCCCCCAGGTAACCCCCCTAAGTACCGCCGTCCTCCCTTATCTACGGCTTCGCTTTATGTGGTTTCAGTGACCCCTGGTCCACTGGGGCCCGAAAATATTAAATGGAAAATTCCAGAAACAAACAGTTCGTAAGTTTAAATTCGGTGCCATCCTCAGGCCAGAATGGAATCAGTGTCCGCTCCTTCCCGCCCGATGGGAAGCCACCTTGTCAGTGCGTTCACGCCACAGACGCCCCCACCTGCCGGTCACTCAGCAGCCGCCTTCATTACCAGATCCCGTCCAGTCCGCAGGGTTTGTGCTCTAGCGGCCCTGGTTTTACTACTAATGCCACGTTCTCATAACTCATTGCAGCAGATTGTTACCACTGTCCTATTTCATTACTAGTTACCGTTGTTAATCTCTAACTGTGCCTAATTTATAATTAAACTTTATCATAGTTGTGTACATACAGGAGAAAACATGGTATATACAGGGTCAGTACTACCCGCAGTTTAGGCACCCACGGGGTCTTAAAATGCATCTCCCGTGAACCAGGGGGCACCGTAAAGGGTGAAGCAGCACCAGGACCTGCCGCCCTCCCTCGGGCCAGGTCCTGTGGACAGCCTGTGACCGTCACAGCACCCAGAAGGAGGCCCTGCATGAGTGTGCAGAGGTCAGTGCCAGCACCCACGGCGTTCCCGCCACCCACGGCGCTCCCAGCGTCCTGCCCTGAGCCCCTGCAGCTCCCTGACGACACAGATGCAGGGAGCAGGTGCGGGTGAGGGGCAGGACTCAGAGGAGAGGCACAGAGTCTGGGGCTGGGGAAGGAGGCAGCGCTTTGCAAGGTCAGAGCCTCACTACCTACGTTTTTTTCAGACCAAAGGAGGAGCTTGTTGACCTTGAGAGGTGGCGTTCCCCCTCTGCTTCTGGTCCGCTCTGCTCTGGTATTTGCTCCGCAGGCTGGTCGGGTTCCAGCCCCAAGCCCAGTACAAGGAGGCAGCGTGGGCACACGGCTGTGTCATTCCTTTCCTGACCTCCCTGTCTCCAGAGCTGGCAAGGCCCGGGGGGTGGGGTGGGCCCTGCATTGTTCTTGCTTCACAGGATCAGGATCAACGTGCACATCAGAAGCAGCAGGCAGCATGGCGAGGACACACACACACACACACACACACACACACAGGAACACACACAGATACACACGGGGATACAAACACACAGATAAACACAG